ACATTATCATCATCACTTCGAACCAAATTTATGCAAAGAATTAACGATCACTTTGCAAATTTATAATATAATTTAAGCATACAGAATCACTACTACCGCACTTAATAAAGATTTACTAAATGTATATAAACTTTATTAATACTGCGTTAAAAACTTGAAAATTAAAAACTAGCCAATTAATACTAAAAATAGTCAGTGCTGAAAATAAAACAATGAGAGAAAAATAAACGATTACGTTTTTGAGACGATTCGGGTCCAGACTTCGATGCTGCATCAGATTCTGATGAAGCTTTACAAACTCAGAGTTTCGAAGGTACAAAGGCATATGAATGATTAGTTTCAGGTAGTCGTAGCCGCTGATTTCAGATTTATTAAAAGCGGCGCTGAGACTAGGCTGAACGGCGGATATGACGATGTGAGGATCGACTGAAAAAAATAAATAATTAACTAAAACAACAAAGCAATAACTCTGATGATGATAACAGTAAATATAAATGACTGTTCTGACAATCCAAGCCTATTCCACTACTAACAGCAAGAATCTGACCATAACATCTCCTCGCTGTCCATTAATTCTTCCTGTGATTACTAGATGCGTTTGCCGTTATCCTTACAAGACCATCATCAACTTAAGATTTTGATCAGCCATTCAGTAACCCATGTTCGATAACCGCTTATCCTAAGGTCGTGAAATCAAACACGTCATTCACTTGCACCACGTCAATCTTGGCCGATTTTTGAGCCTTCTGCTGGTATGGGCAAGAAATATTTCTTTCGCCTTCCTATCTGGAGGCATTCGCGACTACTGCCGAAACCATCGCAGCGGTAACTTCTCAATCTGGAGAAGCAGCGAGTGTACACCAAGGTCCTCTCAAATATCTCAACTCTGGGCACTGGAGAGACGCCTGAAACCAGGTCTCAGAAGTCTACATCAGCCGGTTTCACCTTACATCGAACTTTTCAGTCATGACCATATAGCGAGCTTGCAGGAATCAGCTGCTGCAGACAACTGCATCTTCGCTAACAAAAGCAACCAACTTTACTTTGAAAAGAACCGTGAGATATGTGATGAACTTTGTTATTGATGCATCGCTAATTTTGATTGAAAACATCGCCCGAGGATGTGGAAAATCTTGAAATGCTATGGGATACGTGAGTACATCCTTCCAATTATCGAAAAGATGCATTCAAGAACAGTGTCTCAAGTCAAAGTTGAAAGAGAGCTATCTTAGTCATCTTCTTAATCTTCTATTACCTATTCATTGTGGAGTTCGAAACGGACATACGCTTTCACCTTTGTCAATCAGCATTGTTATGGGGTTTCTTCTCTGAAACAGTGCTAAACCTGGTAAAGAAGAAGGTCTTATTTTAAAGGGAAAGCGCATTTCAACATTTTCGGTTAGATATCTTCCTTTCCTGAGACGCGCATGTGATACTGTCATGGCGAGTAGTACAAGAAGCTGATTCTTGCCTGGCGGCTTCCGTACCCAACGCAGCCGCGATGGCCGGCCCCTTCCTTAAGGCCTAGCTAATCTAAAAGTGGAACAAGAAGAAGCCCTCCTGGAGGTTGACCAATTTAAGAATCTCAACTCCAACATTTCCAGCGATGGCACTACTCGCACAATGCAGCCAGAGTTAAACAGGAGAATCGCCCCAATCTCTAGTGCTTCCGGAAACCTGTCCATTATGTGGGCTGATAAAAGGAGTTACTCTTCCGACGAAAATGAGCCTGTGCCTTGCGTCTGTTAGGTCAGTGTCATTGAAAATCATGGAGAGAGTCGTGTAATGAAGTAATAATAATGACGGCTGAACTGCATACTCTGCATACTTCAGCGTTGGCTTCGACGCATAATGAGTACTAAATGGAAAGACCAAGTAAGAAAAGGTTTTAGTCTTTTCCGAGTTCAGGTAACCTCCGCAATGAGATTGCCTTTTTAGAGAAACTGGCTGAAGACAAGCAATTTTCTCCAGCTCGTGAATTTCTTGTGTGGAAACCGAACGGGTACACGTGGACCAGGAGGTCAGGAGGCAACACGACAAAGAAAAAGCAGATCTGCTTTCGGAAAGGAACATTTACTTCTATAATGCAGTAACCTGTGCCTTATAGCAACAATATTGTAAATCGGCATCATGAAACGAGCACCACAAGACAGAGATGCTATGCTAATGCAAACGGCTGATGATGATGATCCCAAGAAACATACACGGCACACGCGCATAAATGAACCATTTTATGGAACCATTTTATTCAAGCATGACTAGCAAGGCAAGAACAGAATATTCCATCTTCGACACAGAAAGCGTATGCTAGTACCAGGGCAGTCAAGGCTTTATGTGCTTTGGTGTCATTTATGGAAACGAGGTGCATGATCGAAACCAATACAAGGCGCTTCTTGAACAACTTTATCGTTTTTCCTTCTTGTGCTAGGAATTGATCAGAAACTTTCGCTTATCTCGCACATTTACAACGTGCCTCCGCATTCAAACATTGAATCTCCGCCCACATCAGCGAAATGCAACGTTTTCTGTTATAGCTGCTTTACATGGACTTGACATTTAGGTCAGCGCGTGTACCAGTTTAAATGTAATTCTAGTTGATGGGCTAAGGCTAGAAGAAACGCTCAAACATTTTTCAGTTAATTCTCTATTCTTGCATTGATTTTTAAATGATATAAATGTAAAAAAGTGGGAAGATTTAGTACAGTCCTTTTCAATACAGTAGTTTTAGCCTGATCCGCTAAACAACTAAATGAGTTCAGCTCTTTCTCGAATCAAAGGGCGTCTAAAATAACTGATTAGTAAATGTCGTTTGTGATCTGTCGAATACTGATATGAATCTCATCCAAGAAATAACTGAGCTGGACATGTCTTCATGAAATGACCTATCAGGATGGAATTTTGCTACCGACCCTGTATATTACGGGACTTTCAGTAGAAATGAATCAGGGAGGCAAGTGATACAATACGTTTAATATGTATTACTTAGATGGCGACAACTTAATCAATTATACCCCTTTTTTTTACAATTTTGAATTCTGTACCTGTAATCTATTACACTGTTATTGCTGTTGCCACATTCTAAGCTATGGCTAAAGATGACTAAACAGTAGAGCGGCTTAGATGTGTGATGTTCGACCGCTTCGAACTGCAACTTCATGTCGTACATTTTTAACTTTCGAAAGTTTGAATTCATGATTAGCGAGGTCCCTTGTTCTGCGGATGCAATCCACTGTATAAGAACATGCGGCGCAGCGCAGTGAAATAATGAAATTGCTGCTGTCTATGCGTAAATAAGAAGAAAAGAATCTTAGAACTCGGTTAGAATGATTCAATATCTAACGGCTCAGTTAAGGTTCAATGACTATGGAGCAAATCATTGCTATATTGGCTTACCCTGCCATGCACTTGCATGAAGAACGTTCAAAATGCTTTTGAAATACAAATGTAGCTGAAGATGCATTTGATGCGACCTTACTGGTACCCTCATAGTGTCTTAGGCTCAGCTAGAAACATTCATTATAGGCGATAAGCAGTGCCATTATGGAAACAGATTATTGATCTGTTACATGAACACTAATTAATATTTACCGGATATGAGGACGATGAAAGGCGAGTTGTTTTGGTTACCGAATAAAACCTGCAGTGCGTCCAGCGTCTGCAGAATGCGACTGCCCTCGCAGCTGTCCAGTCGGTCAACGAAGAGAACACTAAATGTGAAACATGCGATTAGTCACTACAGTCGTGAGACGCAAAGCAAACAAGTACAATCTCGTCTGGCAGTGGGAGTAACTGTCCAGTCGATGGACGGTTTCTTCAAGCAGCTCTACGTGGCTTCGCAGGTTCTGCATGAACGCCTCGAGGCGCAGGCGGTCGACGTTCATCAACAGGCGTTTAACGGTCTGCTGCGGCCGAAACAAAAACATGTGCACCGCGAGGAAACCCAGTGGATAGCATAAACACGACAACGAAATGATCAGAATCACAAGGCCGGCCAATAACACCGCATCGTTGTGCACAGTCAGGTACGAAAGACACAACGACAGCCCGAGAATGACGTTCACGAATATGAACACGCATATGACTGCAACTGGGATCCCGCAGAATCGTCGAAACGACAACTCCTTGCGACGACCTAAATATTCATATAAAACGCGTATTAAACAAAGTCAACGACAAGGGTCAACGCCACAACACCAGTCAGGGACAAAAACCAATCTACATCTTCAAGCATGATCGAAACGTTGTCACTATCGACCGTCTTTAGGGTGCAATATTCAACGTGTAGTCCATCAGTTTCTGTTCTGGTTATCTTTTCTCTTCTTGTCCCCCAGTCGTCATTTACTCTTCAAAATGTAGACTACACTAAAAACCGCTTGTATCGTTCAGGGTTGAATATAGCTTGGCATCCCAAATCACTCCACTGTCTTCATTAAAGTTTCCCTCAAATATGTAGGACCTTACATTCCGGGATATTCAGCAAAAGCTTGCCTGAGAGACAGATATGACAAATCTATGACCAGTTGCTGAAATGTGTCCAGTTAAGTGAAAAACTTTCCAAAGCTGCAAATCTATACAGGACACAATTCTTACAGTATTCTGATCTGATCGCTCTGGCAAAGGTTACCGGCAAGAAGCCATAGTATTTTTCGAGTTCATCGTAAAACGATTGTACAACATTCGCCAAGGCATGCTCTCCATCGTAGGTCGACAATCGACGATATTCAGCGAAAATGAAGCTAAATAAGGTTCTTTATTAGTTCAAAGTCATTACAACAAGAACAAGAATAAA